AATGTTCTTAAGGAAAAAAGGCAGTACTTACATTACTGAGGAAAGAAAATAGGCTGAAATGGAGGTGGGAAAATAAGAAAACAATTACCAAGTAAGAAAGGCCATTGCATGAAAGGATAGTAGAGGTTCACTCCCCTTTGGGAGAAAGGAGAGTCAGAAGAGAAAAACATGAACATGAACAGGCCCATAGGAACCCAGAAAGTAATTTGTGGTTAAACGGAGGCTATGGCTCACAGCTGAAGTATCCAAAGGCTAAAATTAGTAATAGAGCAGAGACATGACTGTGAGCATAGTGCCAGAGATGTACTGCAGCAAAAAGAACAACTGAGACTCAGAAATGCTGGAGAAGTGTTTTGCTTGAATTTGGTTTTGTCCTGGAGTGAGAGAGCTTTCCTTGCTTTAAGCAAGAGAAAAATAATAATGAATCATCGGCAAATACCAAATCAACCTCATGAGAGAAATGGGAAATCAAGAGGCAGACATCTTGATACTAAAATAATAAAGAGTGTTATTCCTGCACTAGACTTGCCCTGTAGAATCCTCTTTATCCTCATGGCAGACTAACTTCCTTAGTTCTGTACCTGGGAGGAAGCAGCAGTGCCGCTTTAGTCTCTAATTCAAGGTCACTTCATGTATGCAGTACAAATTTGGGGAGCAGCAGTTCAATATTGTAAGTCTTCCCTGTTAGAAAATAACTTTGTTATGAAGGTGATGAAGCAATTGAAGGAACATATTCATCAAATCACAGACACATATGATTTAGATAAGGAGAGAATAACTTTTTCTTAAATAAACAAGCACATCTGGTTACATACTGTGACTGGGGAAAAGCACGTATCATCTTTTGTTTTTGAAGATAGCAAGAAAGATTTATGCTCGAATTCTGTAAATCTATGTCAGACTGCTATAAATTTAGAAGTAATTTGCTTTGATAACTAACTGGAAAATTAATGTCATTCCTAACAAGAAAGCGTGTGTTTATAACATAAACGTGCTGTGATAAAATGCCCTAAGAACTAAATATCCTGGAAAGAATTTTAATTCTTATAAAGATAAGTGATTGAAGGAATGCTAATTCTCTCTTTACTAGCAATGATGAGGAATGACTATGCACTACAGAAACATACCAGATGTCTGGAAGAAACATATTTTTACATGAAAGTTTATGAACCTTTTTTTTTCCAAATGTGTTACTATACTTTAGTAAGTAAAGACACATAAGAAAAATTAATATTGCATTGTGAAACATGGCCCTACAATTTTATAAAGAGCTGATATGAATAAAACCCTGAAACATACCTAGCAGTGCTGGAATCATTGCAATCAGATGTTAGGCAGGCAAAAGAACTCAGAAGAAGAAAGGGATGTCAGTAATTTGGTGGTAGTAAGTACTTCCAGAATTAGAAATGTAAATAATTCAGTCTACAATAATGATTTTTAAAAAGCAATAAAAATGAAGAATTTCTGAGGAATATAAACCAGTTTCACACTAATTATGTAGGAAAAAGCATTCTCTGCATTTCAGATAAGTCCCAGAGTTTATAACAAGTAATTGGGCAAATGAAGGGTAGAACAAAAGGGCTACTGGGAAGCTTTATCTATATTTTGGTCTTGCATTAAAGAAGAGAGCAAAACACAGGGACAATTTGGCTGATAACCATGAAAAAACTTAAAATAATCACATTTGGAAAATAGGAAACGACTGTGGGTTAGATGACATTGCCAGATATGCAACCCCTAGCTGATAATTTTCTCATTTGTGATAAGATGGTAATTTTCAGAGATGGCAATTTTCATGGCATTAGACATAATATCTCTTAGTTTTCAAATAGTATCACAGCTTTGATAAAAAATGTAATTTGTTGTGAAAATGAATAAAAAAGCATGATTATACAAAAGATGGAAAAATAATTTTCATAAATATATTTTTTTTTCACTGAAACTATCTTGTTTTCTTTGAATAAAAGATTTACAAGTTTCAAATACTGATTTTATTTTTGAAATTAGTATTATTCCAGTAATGTACAACATTAAATATACTAGTGTGTACTTTATTATGAGTTTTCTTTTTCAGGGGGAATTTCCTAGAAATAATACACTATTTTTTTCTAAAAATACAGAGGGAAAAACCACAGAATTCTGTAGTGTGCACTACCAGTGTATACTATGGATTTGATATAAGCTAACAGATATTTAAATATGATATAAATATTCCAAATAAATTGACATCTCTATGAACTATGGTTTATCCCTAATTATAATTGGTTTCTTGGCTATTAAGGAAATACAAAATTTCATGAATACTTTTTCTTCTGCATAATGAATTTTTTTTTGTATGATCAGCTTTCTGAAAAACCAGAAGAAGGACATTTACTGATTCAGCACAAAATCATGGCAGTAGCCACATCCCTCAGCTGCAGCTCTTTGGTCTGACAGCAGTTCTGAGAAGCTCTCAGGGTATTCTGAGCTCAGTTTATGAACTGTGACATCCTGAAGGTTGCAGCATTTTCTACCTGCTGACATGGCCACAGTGACGTAGGACAGAGCTGGGACACTGAAGACCCCATTTGTGACATTGGCCCTGCCCTTCTTGCTCTTGGGGTAGCAATCAGGAACTGTGAATGGGAAAACAGTGCTAAAATTAAGCTCAGTGTTTGCTTTGGTGTAAACCCCTGTATCACCATACAGTGTGAGGGTGCAGCTGCCTGATGCTGTGAGATTACAGGAGGGAAAACGGATACACATAATTGATGAATTTTGAGTACTACTGTCCAACTGGTCCATGGTTCCTCAGGAACCCAGCAGCAAGTGGGAAAGAACTGGAGACTGCTCTTGATATCCAGCAAGATCAGGGGAGAAGTGGTCAGTACAGCAAAGAAAAACCCTAATTTTGGCAAAATAACCCCAGTTCCAAGTCTAGCAGGTTCAGTCAAAAAGGCTCTCCCTCTTTGCTGAGGGCAATCAATACCTTCTGTGCTGAGGTCCCAGAATTTTCAAGAGCAGATGGTGCCTTTCTGTATGAAATGTTTAATGATGTGTGCTAATGACGCGGGCTTTTACACTATTTTAGGACATAGGGGCCCTATTCAGGCTCCAGGTATACTTTGTTCTCTTATATCTGGTGGAACTCATTGAATGAAAAGAAGTAAAAGAACTGTTACTTTGCTTTAAGGGAAATTCACTGCAGCCAGAGTGCCAAATATCTCTGCATACATTAATCAACTCCAAATGTATCTGCAGGAAGAAAATTGTTTACATGAACTGCATAATTTTACATACCCCCCAACCCTCTTTTTCTTCCTTCTGCAGACATTTACTATGGGAATGTGCTATTTTATCCCAAAATGCTCAACAATAACAACTGTTACTGAGCTTGTTTCAGTAAGAGGTCCTTGTGAAGCCCTTGCCAGACCAGCTTCCCACATGCCTGCTTGTAGCTCTCCAGGCACTGAGCTTGTCTGTATAGCCGTATCTACAGGAGCCACCAAAGTGACCATTGCCTCCTGGAGAATCCTTCCAGCCTTCTGGAAGAAATGTGCCAGGGAAACCTTTGGTAAACAGCTATGGTCATCCCAATCTCAGACATCCTTTGCACTGTCTCACCTGTGCAGCAAAAGGACAGAGACTCCTGAAGACTCCTGATTTCACCATGCCATGTCATGAAGGATTGTCGCAACTATAGGTATAAGAGGACTGAAGTAAAATGTCAGATGATCTTAATTTTGTCCTTTTTTAGCTGACAGATTTTGACTTTTCAACAAGTATCATAATTTTATTTTGATGTTGTTAGATCTATCTCCTAGGTCTCATGGGTTGGCAATAATTCTGTTAGTATATGTGGCAATGTTATTATCAAATGTTACCAGTTTTATCAAGCTCTGAGCATCCACAGTTAGCCCGAACTCTGAATAACTACTGCAGCTGTCTGGAGGAATATCTTAGCAAGGGAAGATATATTTGGGCCTTGTACTGGCTTTGTGAAATATTTGAAAAATCCTGATTTGTGACTCTGCTTATATAGAGAAGGTGGGAAAACTCTTTTGTTCACATGGTTCCTTCAGAGCTGAGAATGAGACTTTGAGGCCATGCAACACATCTGAGGGAGACTCTGCAAGGAAGTAAAGGTGGTTTAGATTTCCATCCCTGCTCTTTACTCAGGCAGGTTTCCTGCGCAGAGTTCCTGATGTAGCAGGTGTTTCTGGTTATTTTGTTGTGTGTCCAAGCATTTCTGTTCAGTTGTTATTTTGGCATGCTGCCATGGCTTCGCTAATAGGTGCGACTGACACCACACATGTACCTGGGACATAGACAAATGGAATTTCATGAGAGATAGTAGAGGTATTCATCTTCAGGGCTTTCTTGCTGAATTTCAAAGGCCTGTTGTAAGCAATGAAAGCATGGGAATGTTTAACTGAGGGTCAAACTAGGATTCCTTTTGTCTGATAAGAAATACTAGGCAAGGTATATTTCTCACACTAAAAATATGTACATATGAATATATCTAGTTTTAATTACAAAGTGACTTTTTAACTTTTTAATAAATTAAGTATTTCATAATAGCACATTTATTTTTTTTTTCCCAGCATATTTTAGTTTTCAGTGAAAACCACAGTGGAGAACAAGATCTTGTCCATGACACAGAGTATAATGCCACTGGAATTCTTCTCTCCTGGTATATATCTTGAGTACAGACAGTTTCCACTTGGTAGATTGGAAATATGAAACAGATGGATTAATTTCTGGTTTTGATTTAAAATTATTGCCTCTTTATCAATTATTTTTTTGGCTGCACATGGATATGAGCAGAGCTTTACATGCTAGAAAACATGTGAGGAAATTTATGTTTGCATTGATTCCCAGTGGGATTTTGCATATGCACAGATAATCAAATTATTCATATTTCTTGGACTGGGAGTAGATATGTAACCTTCCATGGAGTGAAGGCAGGGAGTTTAGAATATATATCAAGCATTACAGTATGTTTTCATTTATCATTTCAGTGTTCCGGGGAAGCCATGGATTCACCTCAGCACTTTCCTTGGAATCCTGAACATGGAGTATTTCATTTCAACCAGAAAATTCCTATGGTTTGTTGTCTTTGTGAACATTTCCTTTTAAAGCAGGAAGTGTACAGATAGCCAAAGTATACAATTTGCAGAAGACATATTACTGTCATCTTTCAGGTGTTCTAAGTTCAGAGGTGTTCTGTTCAATCATGAGAAATAAGAAGTGACTGTAAAGCTAAGAGAAAAGAGCCTCACACTGAAAAATGATCAGCATGCTTCTAAAAAGAGTTCTGTACCTGGTTAATGTGGAGGTGGACTGTCTTGTAATCTCCACAAGATGGCTAATACCTGCTCAGAAGGCAATGAAATATGTAAGTTGTTTCCCCTGGAGTCACTGTGTCTCTTTCCACTGACTCACTGCTGCAAAGAAATGTACCTATTCCATTCCCTCAGCTGGCTTTAAAAAATATTTTGAACAGTGTGTCAATGGTTAGATTAAAATGGTGCAAGTAAGTGATTTGCACTCAGTTAAACCCTTCTATTAGTCTATTTAAGAGGAAAATATGAAAAGTTTTTTCTGGTTCTGTTTTGGATAATTAGAAAAAGAAAAAGAAAGCTGGAAGAAAAAAACCCAACCCAAACCACCAAAAGATGCTAATGCTGCTACCACATTTCAAGACTATGTCATCTTAAAAATGTGTCACAAAAAGAACACAGGCTATTTCTTTGATTTCTGTGCTGTTTCCCAATATAAATTTATGATATACGGTCATAGTAAACCCTCCCCCCTCAAGACTTTTTCTCCCACAAAAGTTTGCATAGCAATTTTTAACAGCTCTTTATTGTGTAATTGCAGTCAAATTTTATTTTTAATTGACATTGAGACATGGTATTAATGGGAAAAATCCCAAAACCTATTTGATAATTAAATCATAATGAATCCCATAAGGAATAACAATTTATAATGAAAAAAATGTTAACTAGTCTAATAAAGACAGTGGTCAGGAACTTTTCCTGTGCATTTGTAACTAGATGATCTGTAGGTGTCAGGGTTTCAAGGGGTCCAGCTCAGGCTTGAGGAGGAGCTCACCCTTTCTCATTTGACTGTGCTTCCAGACCTCTCAAAGGCTTTATGTTGGCTTGAAATATCTCAGCACTGCTGGTTAGAGCAAGTCCTGGGAGTTTTTGTGTTACACAGGGGCTGAACAGATGCAGGAAATGGAATAACAAATAAAATTGAGCATTTGCATCAGGGGCAGCATACCCCTGTGTTCTTGAGGCAAGACCAAGACACGGAAAAAAGCAAACAGCCACCTGCTCCTTATATGGGAAAGCAGGACTGGATTGAATGAGGCAACAGAAAGGAGAATACCCAACAGAAAGAGATGTGCAGAGAGCCTCCCAGGGGCAGGTGTGACCCACTGCTGGGTGCCTCTGGCACCCTTGGGTGCACCAGCTCCCACAGGTTCATTTTGGGAGTGCAAAACTGTGCTCCCCATTGCCCTAGAAGGACTCAATGTAGCAGTTCCTTTCATCTCTCTGCCACTGAGGCTGGCACAAGCCTGCAACACAGGCTTTGGAACCTGGGGTCATACCCTTCCGCCCTCCCACTCACTGTCTATGGCATTAGTCACACCTTTTCAATAACTAACTGCAGTTTGCATGCTCTGGGCTGGGAGCCACTCTGCGGATAGGTGGGAGAATTCAGCATGGGAGAACATTTTGTCCATCATTTTTCACCAAGAATCAAGCTTTATCAGCAAAGATTCAAATTCCTATTAGCACCCAAACTACATGAGGTGACAACTTCAACCCCAGAGTTTACCGAAGTGCTCAAGAGCCCTGGGTTCCCTCACTTGTCCTTCCTTTCCTGTTTCTCTCAGGAGTGATGAAGTTTCTCTCAGCACTGATCCAAACTGAAAGTATAACTTGTCTACTGTGGTCTCCTTCACTTCTTTACGGGGGTAATGATCCAGGAAATAAAGATCTAGGTGTGACAAGTTAGTAAAGTATGAGCTGAGAAGTTCCTCTGATTGTGAGAAGTCCCTGGCTCTGGTTCCATGTCCACCATCACGTGCACTGAGCATCTAGCACACCAGGATGCAGGAGCAGCTGAGGGTCACAGGTGTGCTGATACAACAGCATGCAATTTTATCTCCAGCCTATTGCAAATTTATTTTTGCTGCTTTCAGAAGCATCACTGATAGCAGAAAATCCTCACTGGCAGGAGGAAGGAGCAGATGTTTAGCTCTCTGCAAATTTCTAAAGGCTTTCTCAGAAATGGGCAGGAATCAGTTAAGGAGACTGAAGGAGAACAGAAACATGAGCAACTGCATGGAGTTAAGGAAGGGCAAAAGTTAACTGTCTGGATAACCTCTGTGACAGCAAAATCTACAAGTCTGTGGAGAATTTTCCCAAAGGAAATGGTGAAAGCCTTTCTGATTGACACACATAGACTAGATTAAACAGCATATTTAATGTGTAATTGTAGTTGTGATGTGCAGTACAGAAGCAACAGAAAATGGAAAGATTTTTTTTCCCCCGCACTATTTACTTTTTCTGATTTTCTTTTCCTTTGGACAATGAACTAAAAAAAACCCCCAGAGTATGCAAATAAAATCTCTATGCCAAATATTTAATTTATGCTATACTCTCTGGTTATCACACCTTCTCATAAACCTCTGAAAGAACCATAAACTGTGTCCTGTCTATAGCATGCGGTCTTCTGAATAACACAGTAATGAGAAGTGAACCTGTATTAAGACTTGTGACTTAACCTGGTAATACAGAAAAATTAAGATCTTGATCAGTTTACAGACCAGATTTATATTCTGTTCCATCATAGAGTAGTTATCTGAGAACATTTTTTTACCTCAAATTTCAGGTCATTCCACATGAAAATACTGTGGACAAGTAGGTACTTCCTGCCAGCAAAATATTTTGTAGAGTTATGCACTGGTTCAATATGTTTTTGTAGAAGGTTACCTCCAAAATGTGAAATTGTAGGTTTAATATTTTGCTTCTTTTTAGGCAGATGACTAAAGTCTCAGATAGAATATTTTCTGGTCACAGTGTAGGAGAGAAGCTAATTAAAATGAACAATATTTTGTCAGTTGTAAAAGCCTACAATTATGTAGAGCCTTTTTCTATTTTTAAGTTACTCTCAGACATAGTGATTTTTGTTTATAGTCTGAAGAACAAGATGATCTGACACTTCCTGCACTTGTAGATGTTCTGGAGCTCATACGCTGGTGTTATTCTTCCATAAAGTTGGAGAATCAGCTTTATTTCTACAATGTCATTCTAGAAGTGAGTAACCACAGATTCCAAAAACTTAAACATTCTGTTAGGATTGTTCACTGTAGCCCAAGTTGCATCCACACTTGTTTTTTTTTGTCCTTACCTCTGGTAAGGACAAAAAATATACTTGACTCTTTACTGACCTTACATTATTCTAGGAGAAGGCAAGAAAATATCCCCTATTCTACATGCCATTTAAAATATAGTTCTACCCCTTTTTAAATTCCGTTCTGATGCACAGATCTTTCAGCTAGTCAGGCATATGCTTGGGGGAAATAGTGAGTCCAATTTCAATAATGTAAGAGCTCTATAAAAACCACCACAGCAATTATATTAGGCTCAAGCTGCTGCTTCCTCACAGTAATGATCTGTAGGTAAAATAAAACCAACCAAACCCAGACACAGACATTTCTTATGGTACAGTCTACTGTAGCTGTCTATTCCTATCCAGCAGATCAGCCACATATTTAATGAAAACACTTCTTGCAAGACTTTTTAAAAAAAAAAAAATCAGTAGGAGGGAGTGCCAACAAAACATCATGTTCTTAATAGTATAATTAATAAAGAATTAAATTTCTGCTTGCAATTGAAAGGCCTGTCTGATACTAAGGATTATTGAAAATCTACCTTGTGAAGTCTTTTTCATATTGATACTTCCAGTGATGTAATTAGCATTAAACAGTCTGGCAATGTTCATCTACCATGTAAAAGTTATTGAGCATTTAAGAATTTTTAAGATTTTTTTCAAAGACCAGGAAGTTTTCAGGTATGGAAGCGGATGTGCCTCTGTAAAATATAATGAGTGACACACCTCAGAGGTCTAGAAGATAGTAATGTAGTAGACACATTTTTTGGACTGAAAATTTTGCAGATGAAATAGTTTTTCAGTTGAATCACAAGATCACAAGTTCAATTTTCCTTGCACCAGACAGCTATTATATACTGGTGGGTGGTGGTCCTAAAGAAAACAGCTAATAATGATTTTTTTTTAAGTATGCATTGCCATGTTTACACAATTTTGCTTATAGAATACATTTTTTAAATTATATGTTATAGTCAGATACTATCACATTATCAGTCTTATTAGTATTCTAGGCATTATATAAATCTAAAGATTTACAGGACGTTTAAGCAGCTTGAAATCCTAGTGAGATTGAAGTATTAATATAAAATTATGTTATGTTTGTGTTTTTAAAATACTACTTGCTAAGAATCAAATAGTTTTTCTTATATTAGGAAGTTCAACATCCACCAAAGGAAATGACAGAGGAAATCCAGACTCTCTGATAAGGGCTGGGGTAAGAAAAGTTGTTTTAGAAAAACTGAAACTCGCAGACAGGAAAATAGACATATTTATTACAATAACATTTTAAATACACTTCACTTCTTTGAGATTAAATTATGGGCTAGGAGCAAGAAAAGCCATCTCAGTCTTCAGAAACTGACAGTCCTTTAATATAAAGCTTGACCTCATTTTAATTAGATATTTCTGAGACATGGCCACTGTGCCAGTCTGATCAGTTTTTTCCACACACCTGAGGTTTGTTGGTGCTCTGCTGGCTGTGGTGGGACCTTCCTCAGAAAAGTGTTATGGATGGCAAGGGCCACAGTGAAAGGAGTGAAATGATCACACTTATCCCACAATTCCCTCATGCCCACCTACTGTTTCACTTTTATTCATAGTTTTAACAATCTCTTCTTCCCTATCCCTTAAGGAATCCACTGATTGTTAGTTGTTTTAATTTCCAGTGATGAAAATCCTCACTGATTCCCTTTGGGGAAGAAGCCTGACCACCTACAGCTTCCCAGAACTCTGCCTAGCTGTTTTTTGACTATCTGCAAGGTGAGAGACTTCAACCTCCCTGGGCAATCTATGCTAGTGCTTGGTCGGGAGCACAGCACACAAGTGTTCCTGTGCTCAAATGGCACCTTCTCTGTTTCACTTTGTGCCCACTGTCTCTGTTCCTGTCACCAGGCACCACTGACAAATGCCTGTATCATTCTTCCTGTACCATTCAGATATTTTTTCACTGATGGGTGAAATTAAGAATTATCAAGCAATTGATGAGGCAAGATGTAAAATTTTCAAGTCAGAAGTGTAATACAGAAAAACTGGGCAAAAGAACTGGAAAAAATCAGTGGCCAACTGAGACAACATTTGGAGATATCGAGAAATCCGTGTATTCAGAAGGAAGGAGGAACCCCAGAAACAGGAAGTAATTCTTCACTGCAGCTGCTGGACATACCCATAGGAATAAGACACAACAAAATATAAACTTATTTTTCCTGTTCTCCTGCTGCTGCACTAAGTTTCATTGTTTCATTGCTCATGGTGGTGTGAAACAGGCATGATCAAATGCCCCAAAATGGGCAGATTAGGACATTAACGGAACATTGCAAGTTTAAATAAAATAAAACCTAGATTGTGGGTTCTGAAAGTCAATTGGATGGATATGCAATTTGTGAGAACATGTTTTTGAATTCTTTAGGAAAAATATACTGTAATATCTTCTGGAGTGGCTTGTTTAATTGCAGCTGAGTAACTGATGCTTCATTAGGTTAAGGTCAGTCCACTTGAACAAGAGTAACAAGCTGTCTGGATGAGATGAGGTGTCATAATGCTGAGATCAGAAAAAACTGCTTGACAGCCAGTACAGAAGTGGGATGAGACAGTACATTAAAAGGCTATATTCTGTTTGCTTAAT